ACCCGCGACAGGAGGACTGGGAGCCCGCGAGCGACCCCCTTCCAGGGAGTTTTGGGTCCCCAAGGGGACCCCCCCCCCCCCCCCACGCCATTGTAGGACTTGAAGAGCCAACGATATCCCCGAATAGTAAGACTTGAGTATCCAACGGTACCCTCAATAGAAGACTTGAGGACCCAAGGGTTCGCCTCGTAGTAAGACTTAAAGACGGAGGCACGTGGTTGATGACGGTAGACGCTCCCCTGGCCGTTTCCCCGTTCCCGGGTAACTGGTAACTTTCCATTACCAGTTACCTCGGTAACGATAACTTTCCGGTAGCGTTACCATTCCCGTTTCCGTTCCCGGGTAACGGTCTGGGAACGATAACCTCCCATCCCTAGTATTGACAGAACAATAGTAGCATAGAGAGCTATCCTGCTATGTGGGTGTGGTTGCTGGTGAGTGTGGACCTTCCCTTTATTAATACGCAAACCCATACTCTCGTTGCACCGGTTGATTGGCGTAACCGGAGATCGTTTCACCGGTTGATCGGTGTAACCAGGGATCGTTTCACGGGTTGATCGGCGTAGCCGGGGATCGCTTCACCGGTTGATCGGTGTAACCGGGGATCGTTTCACCGGTTGATCAGCGTAACCGGGGATCGTTTCATCGGTTGATCGGTGCAACCGGGGACCGTTTCACCGGTTGATCGGCGTAACCGGGGATCGTTTCACCGGTTGATCGGTGTACCCGGGAATCGTTTCACCGGTTGATCAGCGTAACCGGGGATCGTTTCGAAGCGGTTAAACGATGACGGTCAAGCGATCATTGATCGTCACCGTTGCATCCCTAACCCACACTCGGGAGATGCGGTGATTTGCTGTGGGAGATGTATCATCTCATTGAGAGATGTGCATCCCTTACATTGGGTGCTGCATCTCCTGCTGAAAATGCAGCATCTCCTGCTGAAAATGCAGCATCTCCCTGTAGAGATGTAAACACTTCTCCAAATTGCAGGATATGTGACACTGCTGATGTGTCGTAAGTAAATAGAAGAAATGTATGTAACGGGTGATCGGAAAGTAATTTGACAATATTTTTGTGAACTTTTCAGTCTTTTAAACTAGCCTGCAGAAATTTGAAAACATAGGGTTGTAATCAAAAGTTTGCCTTCTTTCCGAATGTGAATCTAAAATTTTGTAAGACTTTTGATTTAGTACTTATGAGCTGATTTTTTCGAGGCGGAAACTTGAAGTTTTGGAGATAAAACGATTGATATTCTTTTTATAGCAATAGGCTCCTTTGTTGCATAAATTCTATGACCGAGTTTTTTGCAGAGAATTAAAGACCAAACTCTTCTCTACAAAGTGAGTTAAGAAACAAGGGATTCAAAAAATCGTTCAAAAACAGTCGAGGCTACTTTGAAAGTCAGTTTTTCGTAGAAATTGAGAAAATTGTCTAAATTGGTACAATGTCTCTTACCAAAATATTCATTATTAACGAATGACTTGGAGTAAACTACTCATTAGTATACCATTTTATAGAGAAATGTTTGTTCTTTCATTCGCTGTATTTGGAATAGTTTTCGGTTCTACTTTGTGAAATTTTCGGCTCACTATAGTAGAATATTAGCGCTGTGATTGTTGAACATTTTTTATCTAATAACTATTAGGCAAAACCAAATTCATGTTTCTCGTATCTATATTATTTGACGTGAAAATAAGGAATCGCCATAGTACTTAATCTTGACTCTATTTCTAGATAAAAACTCTACCTAGAAGAGAATATTAATGCTATTTTATCAAGTTTATAATACTGATTCGCTAGAGTATGTTGTTTTCAACTATAATATCTGACATCAAGGCAACCCCAACGAAATCCTTTACTTCATCGAAACAATGGATCAATAATTCTTATATGGTGAGTGATGGAAAACATAACTTCAAGTCTCAAGTACAGTTTAAAGATAAAATAAAGCAATCAACGCAACTGAATAAGACTCATGTTGAGGAAGAACTCTTGAATTTCGAGATTCCTATGAGAGAGAGTCCAGCATGCATAAGGTCGGGTCAAGTGCGGTCGGATACTAAGAAGAACTGCCCAAATAAAGGAGAATTTGAGTGTACAAACTCAAGAATACCTACCAGGACTCAATATAATATATCAGCATCGAATGGAACCAAATTTGCATTGCGGGGCGTTCGTGGATTAGACAAGGCTCTAATCACATGTCGAAATATTACCAACAAGCTAGGTGTTTATTCTGTGAACTCTTTAAAAGCGGCAGGATTTTATTATACCAACATTGGTGACACGACTCGCTGCGATGATTGTCAATTAGAGGTGACTGGCTGGACACAGGATATGGATCCGTTTTCCTTTCATGCACAGCGTAGTCCAGATTGTAAATTCGTTCAATGTTTTAAGCAATCGATTGGAGTCTCGTCATTATTTCCATCTCATCCACAGACAACTGATGTAGGCAAAGCGACTACTAATTCCAGTGAACAAGATAAACCATCCCAATGCCAAAAAATCGAAGTAGCCAACGGAAATAGTCAAGTACCTGCCTTAGTAGAAGTGGAAATGATTAAACAAGTACGTCGTCGAACTTTCTCCCACTGGCCACATCGAAGTTCACCATTTCAGACACAAATGATCCAAGCTGGATTTTTCTATTGTAGTGTTGGCGATCGGGTGATCTGTATCTATTGTAACCTCATCTGTCAACAGTGGACACCACATACCGACGATCCATGTGAAGTGCATAAAACATTTTCGCCTAAATGTCCCTTTGTAGTAAATATGTTAGTACGTCGTGAGGTTACGCCTCTTTTGATCATTAATCAAAGCATCGAAAGCAATCGAATCTCAGCACTTGCTACTGGCGATTTGTTTCGTTCTCATGAAATTGTCCTTGCCACCGCTTGTAACCCAGCATATGTAGAAATTCCAAGACGGCACCAATCATTCACATCATGGCCTAGCGAACAACTACCCTCCGTTGATGATCTCGTTCGTGCAGGATTTTTTTATGCGGGTACTAGAACGATAGTGACATGTTTCTACTGCAATGGCTCGTTACAGAATTGGGGTCCGAACGATAACCCTACAATAGAGCATGCTCGGTGGTTCCCACAATGTGCATATGCGAAACAACTCTGTGGAGAAGAGCTATATCGAAAAGTTCAGGAATCGAAACGAGCTGTACAAGGTTCGTTTTATTACTTCTTTTGTTGCTGAAAAAATCAGCAAATGGCCTTGTAACTTTACTTTTAGAACGTACCAGAGCTAATGAGCCGACCAACAATGTTACTAGTAATACCCAGAAATTGAAAATACCGGATGAAAGTACATTGTCGCGTTTGGTGGCCGCTCGCCTGGATTTGCCTATATCGCAAAAGTTGCTTGACAAACATTTCAAATTATCAGTTATCAAGCGTTGTTGGGAGGACCAAATTCGTTTAAAATGTACGTAAGAGATGACCTGTATAACAATGGGACAAAAATATCTACAATTATTTTTTGTCTTTTAGTGGATGATTTCGTTACTGACTGCGATCTAGTGATGGCTTGCATTATTCTACAGAAACAAATTGATTGTATTAATGGCAAGAAAGAGAATATTATAGTTCCTAGTGTTAAGATGCGACAAATGTGCGATGCATCCCAATCAGGTATTGTCTATAGAAAAAGAACAACTGTACCCACACCCTCTTCCCTTCTATTTTCTCATCATTACCCACAACGAAATTGAGTAAGCATCTACTCATTGATTTAGATAAGTAAATGTGACATCTCCTGCTTACGCAGTCAATCGAAAATGAAACAACGAGTTATTTATAAAACATGTAACGAGGATCGTATTGACTTGTTTTTCCCCCAATAAGTTTACATGTCTCTGGCTGTGCCTTCATTTGCACTGCGTTTTTTAGTGCAGTTCTTTCACGATGAGCGCGCAAAAAATAATGCAATGTCTGTCACAGTCTGAGATTGAACGAGGGTCCTAATAATGTTGTTATATTAATCCATACTCATAAAATATAGCGTTTCGCCAAAAAATAGAGTATCAATTAACTATTTGTCATGCGGCAGAGCTCGAATATTACTTCTATCATCCAATTTGTGTGATAAAACCATTATCTAGACACTATGGCTGCACAATCCTCCGCATGGTCTCCGGTAAACGTAGTCTCGATCAATTCATCGAACGATTCTGATGTTGAAATGACCACTTCCTCTCAGTCGTCTTCTACGGAATCGAGCTCAAGAACATCAGTAGATCGAACTACTGAGAAGACAAAAATATCCAATGTCACTTCAGCGAATATCAATTCTCAGCTTATGCAAACGGTAAATTCAGGGTCAATAAATCCATGTGCACTATGTATGACCGAGGAAAAGGCACTTGCATGTATTCCATGTGGTCATCTGGCGACATGCGTACCATGTGGTCATTCGCTTCGATCATGCCCAATATGCCGACAGAAAATAGATGCATTCATCCGCATATATGTTTAGTGTATTTATCTATTCAATCTACACTTATTATCAACACTCATTAAGCAAAATTTGCATCAAATATGAACAAACTGGAACAACAGTAGACAAATGAAGTCGGTACCGGAACTATGTTGGTCGTTTC